CCATTCCCACTCCTCGGGATCAAAAGGCAGGGTTGCAATCGGGGTCGAGGGCTCGTAGGAAAAGAATCCATCTTCTTGATTCCCCACCACTCTGATGTGCATGAGGGCCTCCCAATTTTCGTCACGGTTCAATTCTTCGTTTTTTGTTAACTGTGACACCCTCGCACCCGGCAGTCCCGGGGTGTGAGCCTCGAGCATGCATATTCCTTGGCTGTTTCTTTCCACTTTATAGATCACGAGCGGTAGTGGTAAGTCAGCTCGTTTGACCACCCAGTCACCTGGCTTCACTGAGGGCCCTCTTTTCAGGGCGAGTTGCCAGGCCAGTGGTATGGCTTCTTGCAGCGCTCGCAGCTTGGCCGAGACATGTTTAGTGTATTTCAAATTTTGTTGTCGTTGTTCCTGTGTCATCCAATCCACTCTTGCGGCATCCCACAAGTTACCTATAGTATAAATGCCCCGCTTGACCCGGTTGAGCCACGGCGAATTAGCCCTCAGGGTGAAGGGATTCCCATTAACATCAAGTATGTAGGGATTGTCAAAGAGAGGTTGTCGCCATATATCCTGCCACCTGCAGGGGGGTCGTTTCTGTTTTGGTCCCATGCTTCTCCAAAGATTGAGCATGCAGGGCCACAATGGATCTTTGGATATATCTAGTTTCGTGGCCTGCGCCTCATTCTGTGGCTGTTGGTAGTGGTGCGGGGGAGAGGGTATGGACCAATGTGCATTTGTTAGCCATTGAAAGGGGTGGACCCGGTTTTGGGCCGGTGACTCCGGGGCCAAGTTTGCAATCTGCAAACAGGCCAACGGCGCCCATGGAATGTCATCGGCGATGAGAAGTCTAACCAGCACTTTAAAAACTAGGGCCTCGCTTTCTCTTTCTGGGTCAAGTATCCCCAACCCCCTTTTAGATCTTGGTTGTATCAGTATGTCCCATTTTACTCGGTTCAGGGTTCCTTGGGATTGAGCTCTGTTTTTCCATAGAAAAGTTATCAGGGTCCGCCTGAGTTTAGCGCGTTGCTTTTGGTTGAGGGGCCACACCGCAAGTTTGTACCAGATTGCTGCAAGAATAGCGTTATTAATTGCTAGCGCCCTTCCCACAAGGGACGCGTGTAGGTTCTCCCATCTGGCCAACCTGTCAATCGCCAGGTTGACCAAGTTTTCTCCATGATCCGGTGGGGGGCCTAACGCTGTTAGCTTTACACCCAAGATTCTGATTGCTGTTTCCTTCGCCGCCCATGAGATCGGTGGTTCCGAGGGAGGCTCTTCATCAAAGGGTTGCAGCCACCATCCTTCAGTTTTAGCATTCCAGTTCACCTTCATATCTGCGGCCAACGAGAATTGGTGTATGACCTCTAATAGTGCTTGAAAACTTTGTTTATCTGCTCGGATTAGCACTTTGAGATCATCTGCAAACAGAGATGTCATCGGGACCTGGTGAGCTGGCAGCTCCGGGATTGGTACTTTCTGAATTCGAGGGTGGGCTCTAATGAGTGAGGCCAGGGCTTCCATGACAATGACAAACAGTAGGGGCGCTATTGGGTCCCCTTGGCGCACTGATCGTTGGAGGGCGAAGGGAGATGCCAAATGTCCATTCAGCATAATATTCGTTGATGCTGACCTGTGAAGGAGTTGTATCCAGTGACTGAAGACGGGCCCGAAGTTCATCCTGGCGAGGCACATGTCCAAGAAGTCCCAGTCAACGTGGTCATAGGCTTTCTCAAAGTCTATAAAGAGCACCACTGCCGGGACCCTTCTCTGGTGAGCGTATTTGATCGTCTTGTTGACTAGCAATATGTTGTCTTGGATATTTCAGTTGGGCATGAAGCCCGACTGATCAGGATGTATGAGAAGATTCATAAGCGACAACAGTCTTCTGGTCAATGTTTTTGCCACTAGCTTATAGGGGACAGGGAGGAGCGTGATCGGTCTGTAGTTTCTGATTTCTTCCTTATCCCCATTTTTGTATAATAGTGTCGTGAACCCTTGGCCCATCATTCCCCCGAACGAGCCTTCCCGTTGGATTGATCCAATATACTCCATCAGGTCATCTTTCAGCAAGTCCCAGAACTGCACCCAAAACTCCTTGGGAAAGGCGTCCAACCTAGGGGTTTTCTCATTGTCCATATCATCAAGGGCTTCCTTGACTTCCTCCACCGTGAGCGGGTTGTCCAGTTAGGTTGCTTGAGCACTTGTGAGGCGTGTCTGCATCGCCTGCAGCAGTTGCTCACGTGCTTGATTTACGTGATGGGGGGGGTTTGTGGGGGTTTGCGATGTGAACAGGTTTTGATAGTATTTAGATGCATAGTCCACAATCGTGTAGACATTTGTTGCTACAGGGCCATCCTCTTCGAAGGGGTGCTTGAGTGTGGGGATCGTGTTGGCTCTTGTCCGCGCTTTGGCTATGTCAAAAAAGGCTTTGGCCATCGTGCCGTGCGTGTGATCCCGCTTGACGCGAGCACGAATCCTCCAAGCTAGTGTTTGGTGGTCTATGTCATCTTAGAGGTAGTCTCTCGCTTTCTGCAGTTCATCGAAGGATAGACAGTGCAGCGGGTCATTCGTCAGTTGCTCATCCCATTCTTCTAGCTCCCTCATGAGTCTCTTCAGTATGGCTTTACGGTCTCTTGCATATTGGGTTGAAAACCTCCTAGCTCATTCTCTAAGTTGGGTCATTCCATCGTTAAACCAAAAGACTCTCACTACTGTGGCCGGCTTCTGTGTTTGCCAGTACTGCCAAAAGTCTTTTATCATTTCCTTGAATTTGGAGAGGGGGAGCAGGGAGGTGTTGAGTTTATAAAAGCCCGGGCCTCGCTTGATATGAGAGTGAAAGGACAGACCAAGGATAATCATCCTATGGTCAAAGGATTTGCACGGGCTGATAGGCATGATGTCTGCTGTGACCACCAGACCCATCAGATCCTTGGAGATGAGAGCCAAGTCTATTCGTGAATTGGCTATGCCCTGCTGTCCCCTCGACGACAGACAGGTATACGCCCTTTTGGTCGGGTGGAGCGTCCTGTACGCATCCTGTAATTGCCTGTCCATCATGAATTGTTTAAGCATAGCGATGTCTGGGCTATGGCAAGGGTCATCAACTCCCTGGCGTTGTGAGGATGATCTGCGGTCCAAAGATGGGTCCAACGTACTGTTAAAGTCCCCTGCGATTATCACCGGAGCATCATCTGGCAGGTTTTGTTGCAATGTAAGCCAGAAATCAATTCTGGCTGCAGGGTCGTTCGGGGCGTAGACACAGACCAGGTACAGTTCCTCGTTTTGCATTGCCGCTTTCAGGTAGACCCACCGCCCCTAACGCCTGTCATAGTCGTATGTAATCGGCTTGAGTCTGGATGTTGGCGGCAACCAGATTGCCACCCCGGTCGAGACTCTTGTTGTGGCTGGTGCACTGAAGGACGGGTGAGGCCAGAGAGCTTTAGCTTTGGCGTTGTGGGGCGTTGTGTCTTGCAGGTGCGTCTCCTGCACACATATGGCATTAGGCCATTGCCTCGTATCCGGGGACCTAATCAAGTTCCAGATGGCATCTTTTTTGGCTTGTGAGGCCTGGATGAGACCGTTGACATTAAGCGATCGGATGTCCAGATCCGTTGCGTCCAGCTTAGCTGCCCACTGCAGCTGTCGTCTGACCCGGGGGAACAGCGGCAGGGGAGGGGGGTATTGAGGGGGGTGAAGCGGAGGTGGGGCCGGTCTCGGGAGGTCTGATGAAGGCCCCGTGAGGGGGGGGGGGGGGGGAATGGATCAGAATCATTCATCAATCACGGGTTGCGACGGCTTGAACTTGATCTGGAGTTGTGGTGTAGGGCTACCAACGAGTGGCCTAAACCGGGAGGACGAAGGGCGGATCATCCCATTGATTATGGTCCTCGAGAACATTGTCTTCCAGGAAAATTCTCATGAATGTGAGAATTGTGGAGCAAGTCCACGTGTGGTTGGGTTTGGGGCGGTCCGGCACGAGGTGCATAAGCTGTGAGTGAGTGAACCATTCAAAGACAAAATTTGTCTTGGGCTTGCTTGTTTGCGGATCAATGAGGATTATCAGAAGGATGATTCCTTTCGGGAAGGAGAGGTCTTTTTGGAGGACAGTCCCAACCACTCCCTGGATGTCAGACTCTTTAATCCAGTATCTCACCTTTTTTAGTAAGACTGATGTTGTTGGGTTCCCTCTCCACCCCTCTACCGTGAGCCCCATTCGAATTGCTGGATTTACTGACTGGCCCGGTGGCTGTCTGAGACCCAGTTGCCATTCCCCATCCGCTTTAGTCCTAGTGAGGGGGAAGAAAACTACTCCCGGGGAATGTCTTTCGGGTTGCTGTCGTCGTGTTCAAGTCTCACCATGTCTTTTAGTTTTTTGGGGAGCAGCGGTACCAGGGCCCTCTCATCCCGGCGTCCTCCTTCCGGGTCTCCGTCGTAATCGTCATGCATGATGTCCGCGTGCCTTAACCCGGTCTTGGCTGGGCATAGCAGGCGCAAAACTTCTGATGGCGCTTGGTGGGCAAGGATGGCGCCCTGGTCTGTATGCAATTCATGAGGAGGGGACGATTGGAGTGTTTGTGATTGTTGCGGATGCTTTTCCGTTTGTCCATGCTGGCGGTAGTGTAGAGCGTGGTAGTCCTGGGTATTTGATGGCAGCTTCTCTTGTGTGGATGCTGGTTGGCCCGGTCCGTGGGTAAGCAGGTGCCATTGTTGCTGTTGTTGGTCTTGCTGTTGATTCGCCCGGGTTCGCAGTTGGTCCAGAGTCGGTTGGCTGCCATATAGGGCATTGCAAAGCTCAAGGGCGAGGGGTTTGGGCCACGCGAGGCCTTCGTGTAAGAACGCCTCATGATTGGTGTTTTTATGACCGGTCACCCAGGCATATGGAAACTGTTCTATTTTGTCTAAAAATTCATTTATGACAAACACTATTGTCGCTCCCACTTCCATCCAGTCTATATCTGAGACCACCATATGTCTGTCGACCGCTGCAAGGATCCGGGGACTGTGCATAAGCACCGTTTTTGCCTCTTCCCAGTGTTGTGTGGCCAGTGAGTCAGCCGGACTGTTTTCCGTGAGCGAGAATATTTTTAATAATGTCTTGTCTGTGAGGAAGCTCAATTTTTGTTTCACCTCGCATCTATCTGAGAGAGACCGGGCATTCCGCATTTCCACATCTTGCTTTGGGGCAGAAGTGTCCATCCGTTGAGGTTCAGGTTCTCCGGGTGATGTGTCTTGCTGGCACGCGCCGACCATTTGAAGGAGGCCGGGGTGTTGGGGGTCTGGCAGCTTCGGGAGGAGACACTGCTGCTCTAGGTGGTGTGGCAGCAACCGTCTTCTTTCGTCCTCCTGTTGGCAGAAGGTTTGCAGATGGTGTTGCTGTTGTTGCAAGACTTGCTGCTGTTGCTGACAAAGTTGTTGTTGCCAGAATAGGTTGGCCTGATGCTGGTTTTGTTGTTGCAGCAGGAGCAGTTCGTGTTGCTGTTGCCTGTGGTGCTGTGCCAGCTGCGCTTGCAGCAGGAGCCAAAATTGCGCCTCTACATATTCCTGCTGCACTTGTTATTGCTGATGGTGGTGGTGTGATTGCCAAAGCGAATGCTGCAGCATGTGCACTTGCACCTGTTGTTGTTGTTGTAGCTGTTGCTGCTGCATTTGAACCACGTTTTGTTGCTCTTGCATCTGTTGTTGTTGCGTATGTTGCTGGCATTGTCTCACCTGCTGGAGAGTCTGCTGATTCTGCGAGGTTTGTTGTTGCTGATGGTGACTATGTTGCAAGAGGAATTGTTGTTGACCAAGCAACAACTGGTGTTCCTTTCCGGCCTGCATCTGTATGGGGCTGTGGTTTTGGTGCGCAGGAGGGACTTGCTGGTACGCGCAGTCGCGCCCGTCGTCGGTCTTGTGCGGGCTGTGATGTTGTTGTGCGTCGCGCAGTACGGCTACCTCATCGTGCACAGCTCGTTCCCGTCTCTCCTGTGATTGGGCACTATCTCCACCCTTCTCACCCCCTTCATCATGCCCGGCGCCAGTCTTGAGCGGACCGTGGTGTTGTTGTGTTTGGGGGGTCCCTGTTTGCGGCTGTTTAGGGGCGTCGCACAGTAAGGTCACCCCGTCGTGCACAGTTTGTTCCCGTCTCTCCTGTGATTGGGCACTATCCCCGCCCTTCTCACCCCCATCATCGGTCTTCGGGGCTTGTTGATTTGCACCTTGGCCGGGAGGAACTTGCTGCTTTGGAGGATGCTGCTCGCTCATCTGTTGAGGGTGTTGGAGGTGCTGTTGCACGGGAAAGGCGACTCCTTTCACTTTGTTAAGAAGGGCGGTGGCTTTAACCCAGGTCTCTTGCAAAGTAAGGGATCGACGGTGATCATTTTCCTTGGTTGCGACAGTTCGGACGTCGTTTAGGCGGGGATCCTCCCCGTCTGCTGGCAAAAGTGTCCTAACAGTTGGGTGCCCATCCTGAGCTGCGGGCCCTGTTTGGCCGAGCATTAGCTGGGTTTCCTTTTCATCAACAGCCCCGTTGGTTGGTTCTGTGTCTGTTATTCGGTATCTGTTATAGGATGGCGGTACTGTTCCCGACTCGGGAGAGGGGCCTCAGTCCCTTCCACGACCGGAGATGGCTTCACTGTGTTCGGTTTGCCAGACAGCCGGCTCTGACCTACTGTGTCGCCCGCAGTTTTTTGTTTATGTGGGTTGTCCCGTGCAGGCAGACCGTGCTTGGCATGTCGGGGCAGTGTGCCTTTCATCTTAGATTGGGACTGTGTGAGATCTTTTATCACCGGAGCGGGAGAAACTGGCTCCCCTGTGCCCTCTTGACCACACAACCGGCTCTGTTCTGCTGTCCCACCTCCAGTCTTATGAATCTGCGGGTAGTCTTGCTTGGCATGGCGGGGCAGTGACCGTAGTATCTTGTTTTGGGACTCTGTGCGTGTGATCTGTATCGTTCCAATTCACGCCTGTCATCTGGACGTCCCGAAGAACTTCGTTTTTTTTTCCCCAGGTGATTGCATCTTCGAGCTGATCGACCCCATAGGTTATTTGATTTTGTTCATCAGATTGCACCTGCATTCGAGCTCAGGTTCATCTGATTGCACCTGGATTCGAGTGCAGGTTCATCTGATTGCACCTAGATTTGAGCTCAGGTTCATCTGATTGCACCTGGATTCGAGCTCAGGTTCATTTCAACAGTTCATTGAGTGTACCAACTGAGCAAGGACCCTTAAGTCTGATTTGGACCTTTGACCCCTGGAGCGAAGCATTTCTGACCTTCTATTCCCCAGATCAATGGTCAGGACGGTTTAGGGCCTCACCGCAGAGTACCAAAATTTGCATACATGCTTTCGAACTCCAAACGTGAAAACGAGTGTGAGAATTGTCAGAAGTGGGGGGTTCGGTGTTTGGGAGAGTGCTGGCCATAGACACTGTTGTTACTCGATTGGGGGCGGGAAAGTAGATGAGAGGTGCAACTACTGGCAAAATGCTGAGTGTTTGTGTTGGCCACGTCCCCCCCACACCGGCGGCCCCACCCTACTCAGTGACCACCGCCGATCACGTCGGGGGGCAACATGCATCCTCTTCATTGTGAGAGGTAGCTATGCTTGATGGACGGAGGTGGGGGTGTGCCAGGGAACATCAAGAGGTGGAAAGGGAGGGGTCTCGTGAGGGAGTGAGCCGGAGAGTGAAAAAAAACAAGGATAAGTAATGGACACGTCTTGGCTATTCTGGCTGTTCACTGTCTCTCCGGTGCCCAATTGTGCCCACGCCCGTGCCTTCCTTCCACTCCCTTGGTGAGGTCGCCTTGCTCCGAGTATTCATTTCTGCCCCTTGATGTCCAAAATCAATGGCCAGAAATGGACAATCTGGGCTTAGTGCCAAGTTAGTGTGGATGTGACGAACTGTTTTCTGAAGACACGCGATTTTCTGCGCGATGATACTTCAGGTGTTGGTTGAGGAGGGGCCCACCCAATTATGCGAATGCCCTCGTCTCCTAGGAAAAAGGATGACCCACGGTGGTTGGTAGTTGATCGCGCCTTAGCAAGCGCGGAAAATAGTTGTTGCCACAGCTTCTTTCTTGTTCTGCTGTGGGAAATGGGGAATTTTGGCGCGGTCATCGCGCGGGGGAATCTTTTTTGAATCTTTTTTTGAGTTTTCAACTGAAGTCGAGCCCATGTGGGTTCTCATAATTTCTTTTTGCAATTAGGATTTCAAGTAGGCTAGGAATTTGGGTGCATCGTAATTTTGCATACAACTGCACGGTGCTTTTTGCTTGCGCGCGCTCTGCCGCATTAGGGTCTATGCTCTGGCTTCCCCGCGCCTTAATCTTACATGTAACTGCAATTCTCTTCTTGGCGAGCACGAATGTAACTGTAATCTTCTCTTTCTTGATATCTTTGCCGCGCCCCTGTACGCACATATTCTTCTCGATCTTATTGGCCTAAGCGATGCATGACTGGATCAATGAGTGGAGAGCGGGTACGTCCCCCACGCTGCGGCCCGACCATGCAGCCGTAGGCACTTCCTTCCTTCTCCTTCCCTCCCACTGAGGCACAATCTCGGGTATCTCGCGCGGATGCTCACACTATAAATTTGGCAAGCGCAATTAACTCGCTCTCTAATCAACTTTGGCGTTAGCGCGGTCGAGCGGATCGGCTAACGGGCAAGAGCAGAACGGTGAGTAAAGAGAGTTGGGCGATCCGACGGGCTGGTGTTGGGTATGCGGAGCTGACTTGTGGCCACGAAGGACTGTGGCACACGGGCGAACCTGGCTTGCATGTTAAGACCAAGCGGGGTGACAGCTCTGTGTCCGTGCGAGGCGACGGACTGCCCGCATCGAGATGGTGCGGAGAGAGAGAGAGAGAGAGAGAGAGAGAGAGAGAGAGAGAGAGAGAGAGAGAGAGAGAGAGAGAGAGAGAGAGA